GTGGCTTCTGGAGAAGTGTGTCTACCTTTCATCACTTCTGAAGGACAGTTAGTTGATTTTCTCACCAAGGGCATTCCCAAGGCTAAACTTCAGCATGATACTGGCAAGCTTGGCATGATTGACATCTATGCTTAGCTTGAGGGGGAGTGTAGAGAAGATGGGTCAAATGGCCCATAGGCTGTTTATCCTTCTTTATTTTTTATGTTATTTGCTGTAATGGGCCCTAATCTGGGCTTTATTCTTTCTTGTGTTATGTTTTTTAATTTTCTGCCCAACTAGGGGCCTCTCTGTAAATTATTAAAGTTTTACTTAATGAAATGGAATTAGGGGTGTAAGTGAGAAGGTTATGTTCGAAAATCTCTCTCTCTAAACCCTAGTTGCTGCCACCTTCTTCTTCTTCTTCTTCTTCTTGAAACCTGATTTCTGCTACTTTCTTTTGATTTTCTGCAACTTTTTAAACAGTCATTTCTTTTCAAAAGGCTGTTTTTCTTCTATACAAAACAGAGTTCTCCCAGAAGGTGCGGGTTGCTGCCTTACAAACGAAGTAAAATTACAATTGAGCCCAGAATAAGTGATCCCTGTTCACCCCTTGCTTAGCTAGTAGGTCAGCCAGCCCATTTGCCAACCTCCTCTCCCACTGAACTCTTACAGTGAGATTATAGGTAAGCCACCTGAATCTCCTCATCTCTCCCCTAAAAGACCAAGCTACTGTCTGTTCTTTCAGCCACCCAGTTACCACTTTAGAGTCTCCTTCAATGATCAACCTCCTAAAATTCAACTCTTTAGCAATTTGTGCTCCCTGTAGAGCCCCTTGCGTCTCTGCATTAAATGCATCCCCCACTCCGATTGGGCCAGAGAATAGGGCGACAATCTGTTGCTCTTCATTCCTGAATACACCTCCAATACCAGCAGGTCCATGATCGGCAAGGCTGCTGCCATCAAAGTTGAGCTTTATAAAGCCTTCTTCTGGGGGCTTCCAGTCTACTACGGGTTTGTCCTGAACTGAGGAAGAGCTTGCAACAGATTCCCAGTTTCTCCACATGTCATCAAAGGAGAAGGATTAGAATAACTCCAAAGATTTGGCCTAGTTAATGGCCCTTATCAGCAGACATTCCCAAACAGTAGCTATATCCCTTTATCATTAAAAATCCTGTAATTTCTTTCCTCCCAAACTTTCCAAACTAGAGCAGTCCTAGCACATCTCCATAATGCTATGCCTCTCCTCTTAGGCCACCTGAAAGTTGTAGGGTCAAAAAGCCCCCTGATTTGCAGAGGCATCATCCACTTACACCCAAAAGGACCAAAAATGTTTTCCCAAAGATTCACAACAAAAGGGCAAGATATTAGAAGATGGTAACAGCTCTCTCCATTTGCTAAGGAAGTTGTTTTAATGTTGCAATCTAGGTTTGGTTGATGTGGGGCCTACATCTACTAAAACCATTTGCTGGGCTGTCCTGTCACAATCCAATTGTACTGTCATGTCACAACCCAACTACTAGTGGTTTTGATAGATGATAGAAGTCCTGAATCTATCAAACCCCAGGATACAACACTATGCAGCTCTATTTGCAATTTTAATAACCAAATAGAATTTTCTGGTTATTCTTATTTTCAAACTAACTACTAAGTGTTGCCATATACCAAAATCTTTGCTATTTTTTTGATCAGTAACAGCAAAATTTATTAATTGAAGAAGCTTTAATTACAAGACGGGGGAGGTGAACTTTCTTAACTCTCCCGCTAGCACAAAACAAAGGATACAAAATTAGAAATGAGCCTAAAAGAAAGATCCCCTATTCACCCCTTGCTTGGCTAACCCATCAGCGTTTTGGTATTATATTGGCAGTGAAAGGAAATTAATTAAAATTTCGTCTGATCAGTGACGTAAGTAAGAGGTAAGACAAATTTCTCTAGCCATCAGTACGGGCTGATATGATATCTCTTGGTTATCCATTGTCGTCCAATTGCACCCACCGGCCGACGTTTTTTTACCCATATTCCCCAGGAGGCCTGCTCCATTTTTGTATTCCTCCCCTCCGGCCGGGGGACCTGCTCCAGACCGGTGGTTGATTTTTCAGTTAAATGATTTTGTATCTACCCGCCCAACGGTTGAATGAATTTCCATTTATTTACCAAAAAGAAAACAACTAACCTTGCAGTGGCTACATCAAAAAGCAGCATTCCAATATCTATTTTTCTTTGTTTAAAGAGGCCTCTAGATCAACCCAGCACAAGTCAAGGTTGAAGGACCAAACCAAACCATTAGAGCAAGAAACGGTTCTGAAGTCTGTAATTCACTCATCTGTATTTCACCTCAATGTCCCTAGTCAGTCACTTAAACTACTTCTTTTCATTGCTGTAGTTCCAGATACCAGAGTTATCTTCCTTCAGACATCTCATCACCACCTTTGAGTCACCTTCAATAACCAATTTTCTTAGGTTCAACTCCATTGCCAATTTTCTTATTGGAAAGTGAAGTTTTGCATAACAATCACTAGTCTAGGTAGGTTTGCATTTTTCTTAATTTTCATGTGAACTTTTAAGAATGCTTTATTAATTACATAGTATACTACTTAGAATGATGAAATCTATGATGGAATGAATGAGAAAGAAGACATCAGAGGTGAAAGAGAAGAGATAGAATACTGATAAAAAAAAGAAGAGATAGAAGAGAAAAGAGGAAGAAGAGAGGAGCTTGTGAAGAATAGGCTGAGAAAAATCTATAAAGGTCAAATCTTGATGGTAGCTAAGATGAATTTCAAAAATTCTTGAAATCAGCCCAAGTGAGTGGTCAAATCTCTCATGAGAAACTTGTTTTCTCTAAGGATCGATTTATCACATCATGCCAAAGCAATTTCCAGCAATTGGGTAGAATTTTACTTGATACAAAGTCCACAAGCTGAAGATGGTACAGCCCAAAATTGGAGATTGATCTTGCTAGACAATTGGGAGAATTGATGTTGATTGTTGCACTCCAAAAGATGGATCAGATTCAGCAATGGTGTACCTCTGATGTATTCTCAAAAGGCTGAAGATTTTTTTCTAAAACCTTGGGTGGGAGAAGAAGAAAATAGCCTCCTTTTTTTCCTTAGGTCGAACTAGGGTTTCTTTGCAAGAAAGCTTGTCTTGATTGATTAGCCTAGTCTCCCTTCTTTATATCTTCTATATAGCTTAGACTCTAAGAGTCAAAGTAGAAGTTTACTGATCAGTCTCCTAGTTGATTAGGAAGGCTGCAAATTATGAAACAATGCTAACAAACTTAGGATAGGGGAGATCTAATTAGTTTCCTACTTCAACCTTAAGTTTCCAACAAACTAACTACCTAATCAAACTAGGAAGCTAGAAACAAATTTGGCTCTTAAGTAATCCTGTTCTCTCACAACTTTGACCAGCTATTGAACCTTATCTTTGTGTGGTGTGGGACTCGCATAGATTTCAATTTAAACCAAAAGGGTTCTACCATATACTAAAGTAAATGGGCCAAATTCACAAGGTGAAACTTGGTGAGTCGTCTCAACACTAATTAGGCCCAAATTCGGCCCATTGGGTTATTAATAAGACATTTGCAGCTAACCTCTCAGCCAATAATATCCAATCATTGTCAATAGGAAAGGACATCTTCCCTAACTGCATCTTCTTTATTTTCTTTGAGAAAAAAGGTGTAGTGTCACACCCTCTACTTTGGATCCCGAGGTAAACCATTTTGCAAACTCTTTAACAAAATAAACTATTTATAAGTACGTTTTGCAAAATTGGTTTCAAAATAAGTTGAAATTCACTTTCGACARTTTTAGGTTTCCATTAGAGTGTACTCTTGTTCGACACAGTTGATCCTATCACAATGATCACTTACTTTAGTGACTTCTCATATGTTCCGACATACCCAGGTATCTGACCTTAGAAGGATATCATTGGTTGACAAATAAAAAGCAGGTCGACCCATCACCTTGTGCGGTATCACCATCAAGTTAAGGGATTAAGTGCAATTTTCCAGTTTTACCCCTTTATCTCTAAGATCTAGGGCTAAACTGGAAATGGTCTCGTTTTGTGTTTCTCACTGTACCTTAGGTTTAACTTGAGCAGTTGAGACAGACTACTACTCTACTAATTTGGCAGTATAGGAGTGTTGGCCTTGATACGTTAAAAACTCCCCAAGTTCCTCATTCGGATGAGAGCTAAGGTAAGGGAGCTTACATGTTAGAGTTGTCAAGGCTTGATAAGTTTGTGGTTAAGTTGCTTTTGTTTGTTTTTTTTTGGGGGGGGGGATTCTTTCTTTCTCTTGTGGATATTTTGTAGTGGTTTTACTTGTTAGGGAAGGGGATGGTAGTGGTACTGCTATCTTATGGTTTGGAGTTTGGAAGGGGAAGTGTTTCCCTTCTCAAAAAAAAAAAAAATCGGAATGAATAAATAAAATGACCTAGCAGTTCCCTTGTGTTTTGGTGTATGAATGGTATATATCTGTAAATGGGGTGTTTTTATTGATTTTTATTTTGCTCACTCCCTATTTTGTTATTTGCTATTCTATTTCTTCTGATTATTGCACCTCTTTTATTTCTCTAGAAAGTTGATGAAACTTTCTTACCTATCTCAAATACACACAAAGAAAAAGAATTTCAGTTTCTAATGTTCTAATGTTCGTTGTAGACTCGTCAACTGATTGATCCAAATATGTATTGGTTTGCAATTCCAAATATTGGCTTCATTCTTAAGGGCCTTTCTCAGGTATATGTTCACTTGCAAAATTGATTCTAAAATTGCTTATGGATATGCTATTCTTTGTTTATTGATATAGTTTTAGTGTTTTATCAACCATTACTATGCATGTGGTCTTACATCTATTGTTTTATTAGTTCAAATAATTAGGTGCAAGCATGGATTGCGTATGCTATCTATTGATTCATGTTACTAAGCAATTCAAGGGGCTTAGACATAATGGTAATGATTGAGAAATGCAAACTAGGTTGTGTGGTTGCCTCCTTTCTCAGGCATCTACTATCAGTTCTAGTCAAATAGAAGAAGAAACAAGAGAGTTACACGAATTGGTGGGTGTGTTTTGTGTCTAACACACCCATAAAGAAAGATATTTATATTAATATGTGGATGGACAGTGTCCACCATCGTTGTACCTTCTAACTCAACTTTTGGGTTTGGTTGGAACTTGGGATTGAGAAGAGACTTCATGGACACAAGAGTTAGATTGTACCTTAATTTTTACTATACATCCTTGATGGGGTCTTTCTGGAGCCAACAAAGGTAGATAGTAGAGTTTGGACACTCACTCCCTCGGGTTCCTTCACCTGTGCCTCATTTCTTTAAATCCCTAATACAACCATCTTCTTTTGGATTGTCCTTTCTTGTTAAAGAGGTGTGGTGTCAACCTATACCTCCGAAGGTTAGGAATTTCTGTTGGGAAGCCTTTTTGGAAAGAGTTAATACAGGAGATTTGCTTCAAAGGAAAAAACCCAATAGCTGTTTGTTGCCTCACTACAGAGCTGATGGTGTGTTTGGATACCACTTACTAATTTCATGTCAGTTTGCCAAATTCATTTGGGAATGATTTACTTCTTTGTTTGGGTGCAGATGGACTCCCCCATTGAAGAGAGAGAGAGAGAGAGAGAGAGAGAGAGAGAGAGAGTCACTACTGGCTGCCGCCAGTTTTCTATTTATATTAACTTCATAAAAGAATATGAAATTACAAGTATGCCCCTGGGGCATATCCTAGAATCAGAATAATAAGAAAAAAGGGCCCTCAGCCTCATGATTGCAACCAGTTGAACTCAGATCAATCTGTCTCGGCAATCCAAGGTATTTCTGACTCTCTCAATTCAGATTTGGATCT